TTGTCCATGAAAATCTCTGTTGGTATTGGTATTTTGTATGAATACAGTGTGTTCTTGTCATTTTGAAATATTTGGTATTGCCTTGTCTGTTTTGAGCGCAATTTTTCTGGACGGAAATTGACTGGAAAGCCATTGATGTCTATTTTTTCTATGTCGCGTCGTCATTTCTTCGTGAAACATGATAAATGTATCTTTTGTTAAAAACCTTGTAACTTTTTTATCCTTTTTTCAATATGCATGAAATTTGGACATACATTGCAAAATTGGAAGTGCTTTTACTCCATAATAAACTTTTTGGGGTATCTTATAAAACTTTTTTTTTTTCTTTCTTGGTGACTGTTACATGTTGGGAAATTTTATCTTTTTTTCCCCGGTCCCTCCCTCTAATAACAGAGCACTACATAGACAACAGTGGTCATATCATGATGAAAGTACCTTCATTTGATAGGAAATTCAATTTCCTTTCCAATGGTATGTAATTTGACACACTTTCTGTGGTATTTTATATTCTATGGTAAATCAAACTAACCATGAGTGCTGTGAAGGCGAAAATGGTCAAAATACCAAGAACTGCTGAGAGTTAAAGAGCTTTCTGAGGGTTGAAAATGGCATTCACCTCTCCTTTGCCACAATTCAATTTGTCATCACACATTTGACAGTACCAGACTGCCACATTAGGAAATCTAAAAATCAGGATCTCAGGGGAAAGAAATCGGGATTTGGTGAAAAAAATCGGGGAAAAATCGGGATCAACATCAAGGTCACTGCCAAGCTGACAAAAAATGTTTCCAGGGATTTCCATAAATATATCCATGTATATTATACATGTATATGAACTATGTGTTTGTAAGCATGTGCGCGCACTTTATCATTATTCTTTAAATTCCTTAAGAATCCCCTCAAGCACTCTACCCAGTCCAAGTGTTAAACACCCCCCCCCCCTCCAATAAGCCCCGAAAGACACTACAACCAGTGTGCGTGAGCTTAAGTTGACCCTGTTAACGGACGGACCCCGACACATACGGAACTTACAGGCCGAAGTCATGTCATGTGACGCCAACGCGTTATTGAAACTTTAACTTTCTCAAATCTGCCCTAGAATCCTCATAACGGTACAGATCAATTCTCAAGACCAAGACAAGTTTGAGAAAGTTTTGCTCTGATACAGATTTTCTTAAGAACTATATTCACAATTCAGTTTTCAAGACAAATGCACAGATTTTTTTCCTGCCTCAACACAAACCCGAAGATATACACTAAGAAAGAATGAACAAATGAAGGAGGAAGATTGCCTATTGTGAAGAGCCAGATTTTAGCTGGTCTGCACATGAAAATCTATTGCCGATCGCATTGCAGAGATACAATGGTTGAGTATGCAAAATGCACAATCTAGCAGTATCTAATACAACTTATGGCTGAGTTACTGTAAATGTCCGAGACGTATATGGGCTGATCCTTCGCTATGGAATGCCGATAAGCTAACCCTATATCTTCTCTTTTTATTTAACGCGTGGAGTTGATGTGCACGGCTGTTCCACTCAGGATCGCTTAGTTGCCGGCCGACCTGACCTCCGAGACGAGGTCACGCTACCTGCGGGCGCTCGGCCTCGCGGTCAGCGGCTCCCCCCCATGTTATGTTTTGTACACATAAAACAACACCAGTTCTTATGAAAGCCGAGAAAGTCAATGAAACAACAACCAAATGATCACATGAAGACGAAGGTGTCGTTTACGACAGTATAATTTTTATCACGGAGAAGTAAAAGAAAGTGTTGTTAAAAAGAGGGGGAATGTGGCGTTCGCAATTGATTGGTTATTACAAACAAACATGTTGTTTTTTTTAATAATTAAAAATACACGGATCGACAGATTGTTACAGTCTTGATTTTCAGCTCACAGTCAGACTTTGAACTTTCAAACACACTTACGTTTATGAGGTAGGACCAAAATGTCTTGTTGCTATTGTTGATTAATGCACACAGTCTTGTCAATGAGTGGGAAAGCACTTTTACTTCTACCAGCAACCGACTGCCTGACTTTGTTAATTATATTTGTTCTTCGTTTTCTTGTCGGTGAGCTTGCTAAGTCAGATGATATTCTGTGTGTGACTATCCTTTGAAACACTAATGGCTGTCCTTTTGTTTTGAACCTCAACTGTCCTTTCGTCAGAGATGTGTTAAGCTTTCGTCTGATCAGATGTGTAGGTCTAGCAACTTTTTCTTCTAACGGCGTGAGTAGCTCTGTGTCCGATTTCAAAAGTGTTGACTCTAATGTCGTTTCATGTTTGACTAATGGGGAGCTGGTACTGTCTGTGAACTGTTTCGTCTTCGTTTTAGGTGTGGATGTCAAAATATGAGTATCTGGTGAAATTTAAAATGAGTCTTCGTCTGTATGTGTAAATGTGCTGTCAATGGATTGAGTGGTAAAGGGCTGAGCACCATCGCCTGTACTTACAGAGGAAACATCTGGGGCGGGGGTATCCGTTATGCTCGCAGACTCCACTCCCATACGAGCGGGGGACGGACAAGGCAACTTGTGTCCTTCCGTAAGCAAAGGAATGCGTTCTTGAATGCACCCTTTGCTAAGTTTAACACAGCGAGCAGACACAGAGCACTGGTTAATGTTTATGCTTGCGTCGTAAGCGGACCAAACATAGGCACTGTCTTCTACACATTTCTGTGCGGACTTCAAAGCCGCATTTGTAATTTGCTTCCGCAGTGCGTATATTCGCGAGCCACATTTCCTGCACTGAGTGTTGGAATGCTTGTCGCTGTGTCGTTGTCAATGTTCAGTCTATAATATTGCAATAAGACTTAAAGTTTTTCCACAAAAATCGACGCTGCTTAGAAACTTTAGTTTTTAAACTTCTTCCACCAGAAGTACGACACTACTTGTTTAAATTCTCAAAGTGGATGTTATAAAAGTGTTCCATCTGTGATGTTAAAAGTCTCTATAATTATAAACACACAAGAAAGTCAGACGGCAAGTTCTCGCTTCACAGCGTTTTTCTTTGCACCGAGCGTTGCACTAGACTAGTCACATAAAGTGCGCTAGTTCATGGAAATTTAGCTCCTACCCTGAGATTTTTCACCACAATGGAGAGAATAGATTTATAATAAGAAATATGAAGGTTAAACCAAAATTGTCGGTTCGAATTATTAAAATTCTCTTTTAAATCCAAAAACTTCAATAACACAGAGCTGTACAATAGTGGTAGTATATAGGTATCCCAACGGAGTATAAAACGAGATAGAAACTGGTTTCAAACTACGGGTTATAGAGGAGATGCTGAGCTTTTATTTGGTATACAACATTCCTAGGTTTACGGGATGGAGAAAGGGAGTACTATGCTGTAAATTCCAGATAATTTCTGGAAATTGTACCCTTTCCGCGCGGAGCGGTCAGATCTAGGGATAGGCCGGTGAAAGTGGCGTAACACGTCGAGATTTATTACCTTCCGCGAGGGGTCACAGGTGTCAGAAGGGTCAGACGGGCTTCAACTAAGTGCGCCGCTCGGAGAGTGAAACTGAACAGCCGTGTGTGATGATGCGGCCGAATGTACGGATTTCCGCAAAAACAGGAAAGATTGGAAGCACTGCAGAAGAGGTAACTACCGGAAAAATCGGTAGATTTAGGCAACCCTGAGAAAGATTATCTATCGTGAGTAGACAGATTTTAGCCGATATGCACGCGAAAAACTATTGTCGACCGAACGGCACAGATAGACAATGGTAGAGTGTACGAAATGCGTAGTCTGGCAGTAATAGTAATACAATATATTGCCGAGAGTTGCCGTAAATATCAAGTTATAGGGGTAAGTGCTGATATATCGATCTCTCTCTCTCTGAGTTGATAGGATGATGCGGCAAGTATTGAACTTACGGAATGTATGGATTTCCGCAAAAACAAGTCAGATAGGAAGCACTGCAGAACTTTTTTTTTTTCCTTTTTCTTCTTTCGGCACCCATCGCAAATCCGGCAGTAAAACATGCCCAAAATCGGTAACTACTGGGAAAAATCGGTAGATTTAGGCAGCCCTGCAAAAACTAATCCAGACCAAACTCTTACAGAGTTTATTTCAACATTCCCATGCTAATCAGTATGATTTTGTCAGTTGATTTTTCTATTTTGAAACAAATGCAGTCAATCACAAGGAAAAAGTAAGGAATTTACAGACAAAAACGAAATTATAATTGTTGTTACTTGGAACATAAAACAAAGATTTTACACTACTAACCTTCTGTCACATGCCACTATAACAGGAATTAGCCAAACCTGTTCCTCTGCTCTATGTTGTGATTCCTTCCGCAGCTTTGGGGCCCCGATGCGTTGGATTGGAATCTCACACTTCACGCACAACTGAACTGAGGCTCTAACTAACCTTTCTCACAACCTATACTATCAGCAGGCCTCCTCTGCCTTGATACAACTCTCTCCTCTCAAAGTCCCACCAGTAGTTACTCAGACTTTTATCAACTTGCAAACAATACTACTGAACACAGACTCACACTTTACTCACTCTCACACTTCCAGCCAAACAATACAATAGGCTAGGCCTAACCCCCTGCCACAACCAAAAACAACCAAATACACCACAATAATCTTACCGTGCCTGTCCATACCAAAACGGCGACCCCTGCCAGCACCACGACCTCCTCTTCCTCCCCGGCCTCTTCGATCTTCATAAGAATCTCTTCAGGGGTAAAAAAAAGAGATAAAAACCAAATGAAATATGGTCATATCCTGTATTGTTTCCAAACATAACACGAAAGATGAAGAAAGTTTTCGTTTTAGTAAGAGTGTTACGGCACTTGCAACACAATAAGGTCATATAAGTGCCGAAGATTAGAGATATTACAAGAGAATAACAAACACAAAATAGAAAGAGGGGAGATAAGGACGATATATGTTTGATAAGAAGGAAGAGCAAAACACACCAGAGCACCTGCCAATCACCCACAAGAAAAGAAATGCATCGAAGCAACCTGTACAGCAGGAACTCAATGACAATTAATAGTCTGAATGGCAGTTTTAAAGAAATTGGTGTCCTGTGTAAGGATCATTAATGAGTATTAACCTAATTTATCAAAGAAATGTGTTTCCGTTCGCTTTAGCAAGAGTTTTACAGCACTTGCAATACAATTAGGTCGTATAAGAGCTGAAGATTAGAGGTGTTACAAGAGAGTAACAAACATAAAAAAGAAGCAGGAGAGATAAAAACGATACATGAAGATGTTTGATAGGAAAGAAGGAGTAAACCACATCAGAGCACCTGCCAACCACTCACAGTGTTTCCTATTGTCCTCTTTTTGCACCACCTCACTGCCTGACAACAACATATAATGCTCTATTTCTTTTTTAATGTTGCTTTTCTATGACTAGCTACAACACATCAAAGAGATCTCGTCAAGGACACCACTCAATTCCTGAGTGGGGAGAAATCCTAGTTGAGTATCTCTGTCTTTCTGCTGGGATACAGTAACCATCTCTGCCCGGGTCAGCCCCGAGAGGGAGGCAGGCTCTATATTATCTAAATTGTGCTGATGGGGTCATAAAAACAACTACATCTTTAATTCCCTTGTTGCCCTATGATGTACATGCTATGTCAGGAAAATACGTAACTTTTAGCTTTGTTGCTGTACCATGAACGCCACAGAAGTTGGCAAATTTGCCTCTCCTAGTTGTCTATAAATTACAAGTGCGTCATTCTAATGACTAAGTAGTGGAAGAAAAATAAGGGTACACCCTAAAATATTGAAAAAAAAACAAAAAACTTATATTTATCAGCTTTCGAAATCGTGTAGAAAATCGTTTTAAAAAGCGTTAAAAGTTGTCAAAAAGGGAAATTATATTGCAGCCAAATCAGTTTATCATACTTGCTTGACGCGAGAATGTTTACATACTTTGTACGGATTTCCGCGAAAATAAGGTACTCGTCATTGGTATCTGTGGTTTTATGTAAAAAGTATGGGAAGCCAATATGCATTTTCTCTCACACCCTCAGTGGATATTTGTTTACTGTGTAATTTCCCTCTAAAGAATTGCCCCTCGTGCAATTAATTGACACGTCACCGATCTTACATAAGCACAAAATCTTTTTGCAAAACAGAAAGACTAGTAAGTCCAGGAAGCTTAATGGGGCTGAAACGCAAACTTCGATTAAATCTCCAAGAGTTCCAATTTAGCACCCGCTGAATGTTTTATGGTCTGAAAAGAAAACTTTGCAGTCAAACAAAGTCATAGGGAACTAAATCGCTATTTGCGTGCAAACCGAGACCCAAAGTCAGAACACAATAATGAAAGGACGAATGGACAACGACTATTCTCTGTTGTTTTTATTCAGTTGCAACTTCAAAATTTTTAAGCGGCCACCATGTTCTGTTATATAATTAGTAGTAGCATCTTTTTAAAAAAGTAAGGACATCATTGAGAGACCTCAAGATGCTTTAAAGATAGATGCCGTTCAGTATGTTGTATCCTGTCTGAAGGCAAATGAATATGAGCTGATCAATATTCGGGATCTGATCACCATTTCAGAAGACCATCTGCACGAGGTGAATGGCACAATTTATGAGGGGGAGTCAAAAAGTAATGCAAGTTGTTCGCTCTTTTGCACAATTTTGCATCAAATTTAATTTAAATTCAGCTCACGTGCTCACTTTTTAACTTAAATTGTTTAGATTTAAGTTTCTTTAACTTTGGCCTGAATGATGTTACATCAAAATGGCTACCTTCTCGAAGGTCTGTCAGAGGTAAAGAGCAGTGATTGAATTTCTTGAGAATCCACCGATAACATCCAAAATAGACTTCAAAATGTTTACAAGGACTACACTCTAGATTTTGGCACTGTATATAGGCGGATTTGACGTTCAAGCAATGAACTGGAAGAAGAGGAAGAAGAGGAAGAAGAAGAAGAAGTGACCATACGCTCGTCAGACAGGCATCGCTCCAGGGGTCAGCCAGGAAAATCATGGCAATTGTTTTTTGGGACGTTCAGAGTGTGCTTCTCACATATTTTTTTTTTACCACAGGGAGCAACTGTTAATTCTGAACCCTACATCGAAACATTGAAACGACTGAAAGCGAGAATTTGAACATGGAAAGAGTGTTTTTTCACCATGACAATGCCTGCCAGCATTCGAGTACCAGAAAAAGGGAGACAATCACCCTAAACCGGGAAAACACAGCCACACCCAACTTATTCTCCTGAATTGGTTCCTTTAGACTTCCACCTTTTCGGTCTTAGAAAAGAACCAACGAGAGGTCAACACTATGGAAACGATGGAGAAATCAAGACTGTTGTACCCCTACGACCAACCTGCTCAGTTTTACGCAGCTGGCATATGTGGACTTAGTAAAATGTGGACACTGGCTATTGAACGAAATGGAGACTATGTTTAGAATTAAAAATCTGATCCTCAGATGCTCCACTTCAATTTGAGGTATGATAGTTCCAAGTGTGTTCTTTTTTCTTTAAGTTATAAAAGAACTTGCATTACTTTTTGCAGGGCTGAGAATAGCATACCACAAAAAAGGCTGAAAACTAAGGGGTCCGAGGGCATGCCCCATTCCTAGTTTTTAAAAAAAACTAGGCATAAAATAGCTAAATCTAGTCACTTTGGAAGGGTGTGAGGACTTATTTGTTACCCTAAATTTAGAGAAAAATAAAAATAACTACCTAAATACTGTCAAAAAGAAAATAAACCATTAAAAACATTGTACATACATTATTCTTGAGATGAAAAAAAAATTTTTCACAGGGTTCACATGTCTTTGAAAGGCCATTTTCAGTGTTTTAATAATTTCGGGGAGCAAAATTTTATTTTCAATGATTTTGTTATTTGAATAAGCATGTCAATACTTTCAAGAATATGTGATGAAATAAATACATGAAAACATACCTTCTTTGTAAAAGAAAAACAACAACACGCAAGTCCTTAAGACAAAAAGAGGGAAGAAGGCGTCTTAATTCTCTTCTTACTAAATGAATGCTTGACGTGCCTTGTTCTCAAAAGAAATCCTCATTGAGTCACTTGTCTTTCTCTCAAGAAGGTTTGTCCTGGCTCGTCCGTAAAAAAGCAAACTGGCAGAAACACACTATCATCTTTTAAGTTGATGCATTTCAGTTTCCCTTTGTTTCACACTTCAGGTTTCATGAAGTGATATATGCGTGGGGGCTCTCATGGCCTAGAAGTTAAGGTGTTGGCCTCTCACTCAAAAGGTCGCGGGTTCGAATCCGGGTAGCGACAGAAAAATTTTCTTCTCTAAATTTGTCTCCTTTCGCCTCATTTCCTGCTCTCTGGCGGTGTTCTGTCTGCTTTCGTCTCCACTTTCTGCCCTCACCTCCTTTGCCCCTTCCTCTGGGCTCCTGATTCTTTCTGCAGCCTTTCTGCTGCTGCTCCTTCACTTCTTCTTACTGCAGTTTTTCAGCCACACCCCTGATCTTCTGGTAGGAAATATCTACACCAAGCCTTCTCGGTCAAGGGCGAAAAATCTCGGAGGGCCCGTGTGCAAGTTGCGCACGTTAAAGATCCCTTGGTGGTCTAAAATCGATAAGAGTAGGCTTCGGCCGCCACCCGGGCAAAAATTCAAAATTTCCTACCAACTGAAAATATTAGGTGTGTCCCGCGCGCTCATCAGCTGCGAGCGCCGTAAAACACTCTACTATAAAAAAATATATATATATGCGTGGGCCAAAGTCACCACAGTTCTCCACGTAACTACCAGTACTCGATTGTCGCAACTGATTGCGATTCTATCAGTAATGAAGAAGAAGAAAAAGTACTCGGTTGAATGGTATCGGCTGACGCGGATGCGCATGCACCTCGGTTTCGTCCAGCGAGCAAGGAGCGGACTTCCGCCTTTAGGCGGACAATTCTCGGCCCTCTTTTCGACTCACCCTTGTATATTATGGACACAATACCTGAAAAAGAAACAACTGATGGGGTGCAAGGGAAAGCATAACATAATAGCAGAGGTTGAAGGGGAGCAGGTGTTGTTACATTTAAGTAATCGGCTTCTTCAATGACACGAATACGAACATTTTATGAAAGACCAGGCAGAAGCAAATTGTCAACGCAGCTCGTCAATTAAAACAGTAAATCTACATTTGAAAAAGAAGTCTATCCATCAGTAAATCTAATTGGATATATTTATAGAGAAAAACACGCACTAACTTGGTGGCCTCTTGGAGCTGTTTCTTGAAACTGTCAATATGCACAACAATTCACATCTGAAAATAGTTGCCAGCCGACCGAAATCTATGATTGCTCCCTTATCAAAGTAGAAATTTGTGTATTTTTCCATCGCCACTTCCCCTCAAGGCTTCTTGTGCATTCACTGAACGCACTGGGACTCTGTTCCCCATACACAGAGGTTCAAAGATTTAAATTGAATGCTGCTGTTCTTCACCGGAAAATGTTCATGACTATAGCACACAACTGTATTCAGTTTGAGGCATTCAACTTTGACCACAACATAAGGACCCCAGATGGAGAAAGGACTTTTCATGGCATGGGGATCACATCAGGGCTCACTGTTCCAGGTGGTTCAACACAGGGCAGCCTCTGGCTTGGGGTTGCCACTGAAAATGGAACTACATTTTCTCTCATCTCAATTTTGTACTCTTTCTTTAGCTTTCCAAGGCCAGTGAATAATTCTGGAAATTCTTTCTTGAAATCAGATTCAAGTTTCAAAACATTAATTCTCTTAAAATGGTCCAGTTCTTCTATTGCAGGTTTCCAAAGTAGTGGTTGTGGAAGATTTTCCAACACATAGATCTTCTGTTTGACACAATTTCCAGCGTCCATTTCAATTTGTCCTCGGAATTCTCCAACAATCCTGACTTGTTCACCTGATGGTCCGTACAGCAGACCTGCCACTCTATGAAATCTAAAAATCAGGATTTTAGAGTTTAAAAAATCAGGATCTAGTGAAAAAAAATCGGGATCAACGGCAAATCAGTCATAAAGGGCACTGGGGAAAAGGGGGCAGGGGTGGTCCCGTTCTTTATGAGGCGAGTATGCAAGACAAAGCTTTTTGAAAACTGAAAGACAGCATTATTATATGTACTCGAATCGGAGTTGGATAGACTGGGGGAGCACAGGTTGCACTAAACCTGAAACTCTCGCAGTCTTGAAAATAGCTGACACATAACTCCAATCATCCAGGAAAAAAGTCTGCGTTTTCATACAGTAACAACGTTTGACTTCCATCGCATACATACACTCAAGGTACACCCCCACCCCACCCCCACTGGGTTTTAGAGTACTGGGTTGGTTTTCTAAGTTTATTTACTTGTGGTTCAGTAGATATTGCATGAAGCTGTGTTTTAGCTTTTTCCTGTGCTCTGCAAATGTCCAAAGCTTCACCCAGGGAGAGCTTCTTCAGTTCTAGAAGCTTTTCTCTGATGTTGTCATTTTGTATTCCAATGACAAGCCCATCTTTTATCATTTGATCTTCGACGAAATTGTAGAGTTTTGCCAGTTGGCGCAACTCTGTGATATATGAACCAACAGTTTCGTGCTGTTTCTTGTTCCTCTTGTGGAATTTGTATGATTCGAAGGTCTCTTTGACTTCGCCAATGTAATACTCATCGAAAGATTTGATTATCTGATCTAGATCTTCTCTCTCCTCCTCTGAGAGCCTCATTCCATCGAGCGCGTAGAGCGCCTCGTCTACCATGCAGGTCATAATGACTGCAACTCTAAACTCCATTGGCTCTTCTCTTAGTCTTGGAGCAATTTGATAATTATTCCACTGCCTCTTGAATTCCAACCAGTTCTGGTGAATTTCTGTTGCATTGGAGAAGTCCAATTTTGTAGGGGGTGGCAAATTTGCTGTGAATCGTTTTTATTTTGCCATAGTCAGTGTAGACTCGACTCTAGATCTAAAATCTAGACTTTTTAAAAAAAGTTATATTAGAGGTTTAACGGCACTCGCAACTGCATAAGGTCATATGAGCGCCATCTAGACTCTAGGTTCTATTCGTCTATACGGACGACTCAGCATTCAAAGGCACAACCAAAGCTGGATATGGAATACTAATACAGTACCCAGATGGAAGTTCCAATGAGATCTCAGCAGCATGTGAAGAGAAATGCAGCGACTACGATGCAGACATGATGGCAATTGAAACAGCACTGTACCATCTCCGTACAGTTTTTGACACTCATCCTGGTAAAGCACAGAGCATTGTGATTTTCACTGACTCACTATCAGAATTACAAGCCATAGAAAATGACCATCATCTAAATCAAGATTTGACCCATATACTGTTTGGATCCCATCATCTGATAACATTCTGGGGCATCAACCTAGTAATGCAGTGGGTCCCCGGACACTCAGACATACCTGGAAATGACAGAGCAGACACACTTGCCAAACAGGGATCTAGACAGGTACAACCCAACATTCCAACTTCATACAACACTGCAAAACAAATCATCAAAAGCAACAACAAACAAGATTGGATGAACAGATGGGCAGGCAGAGCAGTTTTCAAACATATGACCACAACAAAAAGGAATGACAATATCAACCACATACAGAGAAAGAATCAGACCACAATCTTCCGCCTACGAACAGAACATATACAGCTCAACTTCCACCTGAACAGAATAAACCCGGAACTTCCCCCAATATGCCCCTTGTGTGACTAGGTCATATTCCAGTCACACTCAACATATTCATATATATTTTCTCTCTATATATAAATATATACATAGTGTGTGTGTGTGTGTGTGTGTGTGTGTGTGTGTGTGTGTGTGTGTGTGTGTGTGTGTGTGTGTGTGTGTGTGTGTGTGTGTGTGTGTGTGTGTGTGTATTACACATATAAATAAAAGAGTGCGGTCTCTGGATATTTTAGTAATGCACGAGTTCTGACATTGTCAATTTCATTTGTCATTTTCACACAAATGATTGTAATAATATTATAATATGGTGCGACTCCAAAATCGGGAAATCATGACTGTTATCGGGATGTCGGGAGCAGCACATTTGATTCAGGAAATTCCCGACAAAATCGGGAAGGTTGGCAGAAAAGAACAGGCTTGGACAGGTGGTGGTTAAGGCAGGTTTGACAGTATTCTGTCCGACAACAATGACTTGTTGCCAGAGCCTAGGGATCACTTACTGGTATCCCCATCTTCGTTCACGAGGCGGAGGGAAGTAGGAACCGGGCTGGGGTCCTGATAATGACTTGAGCTGCTGATCAATTTCCAGTTTGGCTTGCCGCAACTGCTCCACTTCCTAGTCCAGACAAACAGAGAGATTTGCTTTAGTAAAAAACACACAGACAATAACAACTGACACTCTGTGCCTGGAAACAGCTAGAAAGATGAGCAGAAACAACAGAGGGAAACAACGCATGGCACACGAAAACAACAAAAAACCTGCTCCATATCTCAATGTTTTTCATTACACATGACAAACTGATTATATTTATGTTCCTTCAAAGCCCATGATGCCTGAAGTTATTAGAGTTTCTATGAGCCATGGCATCTCTTTTTTAACTCTTTTCCTACGTGGCCTCGCTGGATCGAGAGGGGCTCGTTCTCTATTCCATTCCAGCAGTAAAAAGGCATGAAATTCTCGGCCGATCCATGTTTTCGAAATAATAGCTGTTAGCGGATATGAAAGAAAATATAGCACTGGCAGACGATTTTTAGTCATTACAGCGTTTTTTTCTGTCCCCTTCGAAATGTAAAAATGAAAAGAAAAGTGCTCCCCTGACTTCAGTATATGTCTCATATTTCCACTTCTGTAACAATTCTGTCATAGGTAAACAGACATAACCTTCAGTATTTCTTTGCATTACTTGAGGCAACCTACCTGGGGAGTTTGAATGATGTCATTGTTGTACTTTTTTAGTTATGACCTTTCAAAGCTGGAAAATTGATTTCATACGACACCTTCGATATTGCATAATCAGTTTTAGAAACCCCCAACTGATATAATAGGAATAAATCTTCAATATTGTACCACCATCTGACAGATTATTTTTTGAAGGGCCATATGATATGGTTTGTGTTTTAGTTGGATGTTTTGACATTTTCCTTAGGTGGGGTAGGGGCGTAAAAAAAGGTCAGGGAAAAGCCCTAAGCCAGTGATGGATTTTGGCCTGGGAGCATTCAGCAGCCTGTTTGAAGAGTTTGCCAACAACCTTAACACCTATTTTTCTCAACAAGATTTTGTCTTGATTGATTTCTTCCCCTACATATCTTTCTTGCTGGCAATGTTTAACTCATTCGCTACGCCAAACCGTGGCAGCGGTCGGCTAAAGTGACTTCGCTACGGAAAGCTGCCCCCGACGGCTTGAGACCTATAATTCTAGCTTAGATTTTATTCCAATCCACATATCCATGTTAAAATAAAGGTTGTAATATAACATTGACTTTTCCACACAAAATTGAAAGTTTTGATTCAGTTTCGAGACACGATTTTGAAGTTTAGGCGGCTTTGTTTTATCGCAATGCCCTATCTTAGTACTTTTACACACAAAATGTACAACTGGGAATAATGAATAGAAATGGACCTTGACAGTACAGTTACCCAGCACATATATAGATCCTAATTCTCCTCCACTTTCATGTTAGAATGTTGATGTCACAACCTCGGAACACAACTTCAAATTATTTAGTAGTTTAGCATAAATTTCTTTCATTGCCGCCATTATCACACTCCCCTAGAATCATCGCTCTGACAATTTCTCAAGGTCTAGACACATTTGCAAAAAAATGTTTTTCTGACACTGATTTTCTTTCTAAAATCACTTGTCAATTTACTTGATCAATGACCAGATTTTTCAAGAGCGGCTATAACCCAAAGATAAACAGAAAGAATGAGTGAATGAAAGAAAGGAAGAAATTAATACAAAAAGCTCGCTTATGGCTAGCCAGATTTTGACCAATCTGCAAGTAAAAACGTATTGCCGGCTACTGGCCACAATGAATGCATATCGAGAAAATGGTCGATCACAGGAAACGCGCAATCTGGCACGTTTCAATAACAGTAACATATTGCCAAGAGAATTACCATAAATATCCTGAACTTATACAAGACACGAAGGCAAGTACGGATCCTTTGCTACAGAATTTCTGTTGCCCTACGCTATCGCTCTTTTTTACAGATGGAGTCGAAAATTATGGAACAGCAAGTACGGTACTGTCAGAAAGTACACATTTCCGTAAAAATAAGGAAGATTGGAATCAAGGAGGCAGCTTCCACCCTACCTGTCAGGGCCAACTCATGCAGGATGGGATATAATGTTCCAGAAGAAAGACCTACATACGTCATCAAAAATTTTCCCGACATGGAAATTGAACTCAAGTCTTTTGCAGGAAATTTTACAGCAAAGCACCTAACCGCTACGCCACAGCCCCCGGTTAGCCATAGGGTAGAAGGTGCATATTCTGACACCCCTCGTGGGGTGCACTCCAAAAACAACGAACGGTGCGGAAATACTACAACTTATGCGCGCGGGTCTATTTTTAACCGGCAGCCGAACTATCTTTTTTTAACGATGTGCGTCATTTCTAAATATAGGCTAATAGTTTTCCCATAAACCCACAAGAAGTGACACCGCTCTTTCGCGCGTCCAATTTCGAACGTTTTCAAGCTCCGTGTTTCTAAAGCAGCAATATCACAAGGTGAGTAAACAAGTCCTATTTCTTGTGTAAAAGGCTGTATGTGATAAATGAATGTACTAAATGAATATTAGATTATTGAAATTGCTGTTTTCAACAAAATTTGATAGATTTTATTGCTTTAAACTGGTTAAATATCATGGGTGAAACTGACAAGAGATGGTTTAGCCTGAAAATTTTGTTGTTAGAGAACGGATAGCCTGAAAAGTTCATGGTAAAGTCACGTGGCCTGAGGGATGGAGTACGCTTCTCAATTTTCCAGGGGCATGTTACAAAACAGTGATAGCACGTGCTCTATTTAAATATAATACACACAAACAAGTACGTAGCTAACATTATATAGTATATATCCAGTCAACAAAATTTCAGTGTGGAACAGGAGTCTTGTGTGACTTATGTATTTCAGTCTGTTCTTACTTGTTAGATATTTCCTTAATTTATATTTTCCCCTCATCATTTTATATATAATATATAAACTACATTATACAAATGAATCCTGCTTTGAGCCTGTGAAAGGGCCTAGAACCAGAACATCGACTGTCAAGAACCAGTCTTGGTATCATGATTCATGTCATAAACGTGAAAGACAAAAATTATTGCTCAAACCCAAAGTAGAGTAAAAACTTGAATGGCTCAGGTAGACCTATTCAGAGCGAGAATTGTAAGGACGGAGAGAGGTCAAGATGCAGTGACACTGAAAATTTGCCAGTCTTGAACAGAAAGCTACTATCACCCATCCAATGAAACGCAAACACTTTAGTTCATCAATAACAAGGCTTACAAGGTATGACGGATCCTGATTCCACACACGGCCGGCACCAAAGCGCGCTTTGTAGAGAGCTCAAATAAAATATTTTAAACTAAAATGTGCTTCCAAATTTGTTGTCCTCTGGAGTTGCCTTCCGCACCCTCCCCACCCAGGGTATCTTTAAACTTTGAATGAACTTTGGCGACCCCAACTACCGTCGATGCTCACGGTCACAGGATTCCCTATCATGCGACGAGAACGTGCGCAGGTTCAATGACCGGTCACCATGAGGAGCCCAACAAGCTGACAATCGGACAACGCTTTTCTTCCTTTTTTCACAAGTGACGGCACATATACAAAATTTGATTTTATTTTCATGGCGACACAGTGTTTATAGTACTGGCAGACCTGTTTGTCACAAATGTTGCACTACCAGTCTATCACCGGCCAAGCTGGGTGATAACGAAAGCGAAAGTAATCTTGATATTCCCGATCGAGCCACGGTGTCACATGCTTCCGCATGCACCATAGCGGCCAGTTCGCTTAACACGTACTGTCGGACCGGGAAAAGCCGAACGAATCACAATCGCGACCGGCAAAAATTAACTTACGGACCATATTGGAATTTGTTTTCAAATATTCCAGAACTTTTTATATTTTCCCGAGTCTTCTCGACTTCTTCCGCGATTAATTTACAGATTTCCTCAAATTCCAGGGTCCCAGCGATTATTATCAAATTCCTGTCACACCGCCGGCTATGGAAGACTTACCGGGCCGATGTAGCCGGAGGGTGGCCTACGGATGAGTTCAAGTAGCCGGAAATTCCGGCAGGAGCCGGAAAACTTTCACCACTGTTAAATATGTGCTCAAAAAGAGTCCAATTTCCCCACATCAAAAAATGCCACTCTCAGAATTATGACACCCCTTCTGTCAATAATTCAACACCCCATGCTGCTATTTCGACACCCCTGGTGGTAATGTCGACACCCCCTGTGGGTTATTTCGACACTATGTCAGTAGACTCATGTTCAATACAATATATTATGTAAATGACTATGTATCCATTTATGTATTTTGTGAATTGCAGTGTGAATATTATTTTATGCTCATTTCGTGACGATGTGTAAGCGTAGTAGTAGTATAAGGTTTAACGGCGCTCGCAACTGCTAAGGTCATATGAGCGCGCGAAACACAAGTTGTTCACCTCTGCGAAAGTTCACTTCACGACTGGTAACTAATTTACTTTAAAATGCTAAAAAGTTAAAATATTCAAATTCGGTGTAAATACATTTGTGATCTAAAACAACTTTTAAGTAACAATAAAATTTTTTAATAATATCAGATTCACTTTACAACTCGCCATAAAGGCCAATGGCCTTTATAAAATTTAAAATTCTGCTGGGAACAACGACGGAGAAAATATCCTGCAATTTCTTGCATTTATAATATTTCCTTTGGATCTCTCCAAAGTCTAGACATTCTGTTAAAATGTGTCTAATGGTAAAATCTGTGTCGCATCCGACACAGAACGGCTTCTCCTCTCCCTGTAGGAGGTATTTGTGGGTCAGGGCCGTGTGTCCGATGCGCAATCGAGTAAAAATGACTTCGTCTCTTCTGGAGAGATCCGAAGGATTTCGCTGTTCTAGTCTGGGTTTAATTTCATATAATTTATTATTTTTCTGGTTTTCCCAGTGGCTCTCCCACAGACTGGAGGTGTACTTTTTGACTTTATTTCTAAAGTCAGTCTGTGGGAGAGTGTTTGTCGTTGATCCCAGCAGAAGGATGAAGCTTTCTTCGCCAGGTCGTCTACCTGCTCGTTTCCTCGGATGCCCACATGGCTGGGTATCCATGCGAAC